TTCTCTATCTTTACAACATCTACATACATCCCAAAATCTAAATATGCTTGGACTACAAAGGAACTACATGTTTTAAAATTTTATTTTGAGAATATTTATTTTTATTATGTGTTCTATTAATATTTAAGAAATTTAAAATTTGTGTTCATTTAATCAAAAAGATATTTTAGTAATGTGCCATCTTCCCTTAGTCATAGCTTTAGCTATGATATGCAAATGATATATATAATATGAATCATGCTATATACTCCCAACTCTACTTCTCAAGATTGACTTGGGTTTTCCCAGAATGCAGTAATGCCACAGAATAAGGTCCAGACAGATCTGATGATTGTCAATGTTATTTCTTTTATTTAAATGAATAGATTCGGGCCGGCCGAGTGGCACGATGGTTAAGAACTGGCTTGGGATGCCAGAGGGCCCCGGTTCGGATCCCACATATGAGGGCCAGTGACAACACTGCCCTCCACAACTAAGATGCTGAACAACAGCTCAACCTGGAGCTGGGCTGCCATGAGTCACTGGTGACGGCGTAGGCTGCAGCTCCTGTGGCAGTGGGTTGCCATGGGCTACTGTATGTAGCCAGCAGCCAGCGTGAGCGGCCACCAGCCGCAGTGAGCGGCCGTCCAGAAGCCCGCGACTGAACTGCCTCACCCGGGAAGAGCGCAATGATGGTGCCAACTTGGGCTAGTGAAGCAACGTCCTCCACAACTAGACTGAAGACCAAAATGACAGCAACTTGTCTGTTCCCCTTCCCCAATTCCCCAGCGCTGTTCCCATCCCCCCAATTTCCCCATTTTTAAAAAAAAGATCTATAAAAAAATAAATAAAAAATAAATGAATAGATTCCCACAGCTTAGTCATATACTCCTTTGAGAATCTGATGAAAATCATGGTTCCTCTACTCAAATATATCAACAATTTAGCAAATAATTTTAAGAGGTTTGAGACACCTTCCCCCATGAAGCTTAGTGTTAGAGTACCTTGACAATATATATAACATAAGAGATTATCCCCCTGTCTTCCACAGCAGCCTAGGAAAGCAGAGACAAAATCTCTAAATCTCAACCTCTGGGACCCACCAATGGAATTCCTAGAGCTCTGATCTAAGATGAGACACCTAGCACAGGGTCTGGAGCATACCGACTGATCAATAAATGTTAGTTTTCTTCTATTTCAAAGCCCCCCTGCTCCCTGTGAGAATTCCTTATTGTTCCATGCATTCCCCTCGGGGTTAGTGTTACGCCTCCTCTCTTCACCACCGTGGATCACAACCACAGCCATGGAAGTGGACTTGGTCATTTCCATGGCATTAATGCCACTTATTCTTTTGCCATAGACACGGATCTTCTCCCCATCAGTGAGACACTTTTCAATCCTTTTGCTCACCCAACAGCTGAACCTTCTTCCAACATATGGTATATATATTACCTCCTTATATGTTTGGGTGAGAGACAAAATTTATCTTTTGATATAGAAGCAGAAAATGCAATATACTTTCTTTCTAGGGTCCCTTGTAACCAATGCATGGAGACTTAGCATAGGGCAACTTTATGCATCTACCAGGGACTTTGAATTGAGAATTAGTGAGATAATGAAGTAGGCAGGGTCCCTAGAGAATGGTCTCTGGAAGCAGCAACAGCTGGGACCTGTAGTACCAATGTTATTGGCAGAATCTAGAGTCATTACCAGTGGGATCAGTAGTACAAGCCTCAGTCTCCAGTGCTTTGTGGCAATATCAGTGGCTTCCAGGCTGAAAGAATTCTGCTGAACAATAAGTCATGTTTGCTAATGATTTCATTTTAAGCTTCCTTTTTTGGACATCAATATTGCTGGTTTCTCCAACATCACCATGCATTTTTTTTTTTTTACAAAATCTTTAATTTTAACTCTGATATATATCTTCATGGGAAACTTTGGGGGAAGTAAGAATTAATTTATCCACTAAATGTGGCTCTTTCAAAATAACAGGTCTAGGAAAACATGCCACTAGAAAGTGACTGAGAGACTCTTTAGATGCTGACAGCAAGCAGAGAATATAACATTTCCTTTGCTTGTATTTCAAGCAGAGAAGGCCATATCCATATATTCATGAATGTTTTTCCACTGCTTGAAACTTTCGGTGGCTCATCATGAAATGAAATGGAATCGGACTCTGCCATTTGTTAGATTTTAAACTAGAATAATTAACTTAGCTTTTCTGTACTTTATTTGCTCTTCATTTTATATATTTTTAAAGGGGTAGAAAGTATATAATATCTATCTCAAAGATATTTGTGATATGTATGATACATCATATATAAAACCTGGCACCAGGAAGGCACACAATAAAAATGAAGGCTGCTCTCGTGAATCTAGCACTCAGAGGCCTTCAACTTGGATCCCAACCCACCTTTCCAATCTCTTATTACTTTGCCTCCCTCTTCCTCTGTTCCCAAGGCCTTGCTGACATGAGATTTTTGAAAAGCATACTTCAACATGCCATAAACAATTCTATACATTTACTTCCATGTTCCCTCTGCTTGGAATGTGCTTCTCCCCTGTTTTTTTATTCACTCTCTAAGGTCCACCTCAATAGTCCCAGTTTTTCCTCCACTCCCTAAACAGATTAATTACTCGTTTCCATGGACACCCATAGGACTTTAATTAGAGCCCTATCACTGCACTAATCATCTATCACAGTGAATACACTTCCGACTCTGCTGTGGATGATGAGCTTTTTAAGGGCAGAAATCGTGTTTCACTCCTCCTTGTATATCCCTAATGTCTGGATAAGATGTGCTCCATAAACGTTTGAATGAGTCAATGAGTAAATGGTAAGAGTTGGAAACCACCAATTTGTATTTGTGTGGGAGCCACAGAGAGTGCCCACCTCTCCCCAAAACTAGAAGGAGTAAAGTAAGATTGTCATTTAAGAACTAAATGTTGACATCTACATATATATGCAGAACCATCTGGAAAGGACAGAATCTTTGCCAGGCCAGCAGGACTCCACAGAAACCAAATTGACCCGACTATTTATTCTATGTAAAGAAAGTCTGAGCCATTTAAAGAAGAACGGGTTAGTCCTAATAAGCGTAGAAAAATAAGGGTCACTGAGGCAAGACTTGATGATGGCCCTTTTGAGCACTTTCCGGGACAAAAAGAGTCAGGTTTCTAGCACTTGAGTCTCAACTGCAAGGTTTTCCGTGGAGCATCCAGACTCATTCTCTTATTTTAACCCAATGCTATTAGGCATTCCCTGTATTCTCATTGATGCTCACCTTATAGACTTTTCTTATTCTTTCTCATGATAAATTAAAAATTGGTTTCTGACTGTGATTTGGCTTCACTGGGCCCATTTACTATAAACTTCAATGAGGACCTCCGTGAGAAAACTTCTACACCTTCAAAGCGAAAGACCAAGCCCAGTCAAATTTCTTTTGGATACTATATCCATACCACTACCAATTAATTGCAAGGTGGACCAATATCTATACCTAGTACATAAAATGAGTTGATGGGAACTTAAAAGAAAACTCTCCTACATCTACTTAAGATGATTTCTATCATGAGCATAGCTGAAATTCTTATCATTGCCCTTCCTTCTAAAAGTCCTGGGAGTTAACTTGGTTAAAGACCTCAGAACACTGGCCGAGTTGACTGCGTCTGGATTCATTAGGCTTTGGGGTTGCAAAGAACAAAGACTGACTCAGATTGCCTCAAGAAAATTGAGTGTATTGTAAGGAGACAGGTGGCACTTAAGAGCAAGGAATGTCACAGGAATTCAGGAAGGTCTGGGGGAATAGGAGAGTCAAGAACCAAGCATGAGAGCAAGAGGATTATGATTTTGCCCCCCCGGCCTCAGAAGCTCAATAGTTTTCAGTTTTGTGCTCCACCATCAATGGACTTCAGCTCTCTCTTAATTCTGCCTCTCTGTGTTTTCCCTTCTGTTTTTGTTTAGACCACTTTCTGACTTCTTTCTTCTTAAATATCCAAATGTCCAGAGAGGGAACATCAGACCTGAAGCCACTGTCGTTCATGTTCAGGCAGGGCCTTTGCAACACACTTCCTTCCGATGCCTCTGGCCAGCCTATAGGCCAACTCCCCTGGAGTAAGGTGCTCAGCCCATACAACTATCTGGCTGAGGCAGGGCTTTTGAATGGTGAAAACCTGGTCACCTATGCCTCAGGTGCCCAGAAGGTCTGAGCATGAGGCAGTTCTCCTCAGGAGAAGCTGTGGGTTGGCAGGAACTTGTTGGTTAATAGAACCGATAATTAATTCATACAGCCAGAGAACCCAGATATAGGTATGTGAACAGGCTAGATCAGAATCTCCCAGGGTCTGTTTAAAAATACAGAACTCTGGATTTCACATGTGAGCTACTGAATTAAAATCTCAGGGTGGAGGATTAGAGAAATAAATTATATGTATATAAAATCCCCGCAAGTAACCACAGCTTTGACATTGTGAGGGAACAGAGAGCTATGTGAAGGGTGAGAAGTGTCAGACTCAGGGCTAGGAAGTCTTCTCAATTCTTCTAATGTATTTGTAGAGGAATTCTCGTATACTCTAAGTGGAAGTGTGGGTGAAATCACACTTGAAAAGTAGAAGTGCTAAGGTGAAGTAGGTTCCTCTAAAAGAAATAAAAAATGTAAGAACCATTTCCCTGTAGTTCCCAGAGTTTACACAAATGACAGATCTGACAGACCAACAAGAACTAATGTTAAATTCAAACACCGTGACCTTTTGGTGTGGCCTCATAAAAAAGTTGAGAATTTGCTTCCTTTTCTTCCTTATCTATAACAGGTATATTCAGTGAAATATCATAAGCAATATGTAAACTAATTTTATCAAAATGCTACCTGAATTATAAATAAAATTAAATTTTCAAAAAATAATTCAGGAAAACCTTTTACTTTAATGAGAGAAAGCTAATAAACTATTTTGTGATGTTTTAAAGGCAGAGTTGTTTAATATAAATATATTCTAATAATATCACTATAAAAATAAGCACATACTTTTGGGTATTATTATCTTTATTACAAAACAAATATTTTATGTTGAGGTAACATTTCAAAGGGTATTTGGCAAAAATCAATTGAATTCTATATACACAATTTTATGTGCAATGTATGTAAAGAACTCAGAGGACAGTTTTTCTTGTATTGCACATAGACTGATTTTAGAAAAAAAATAAAGCTAAAAGTTATTTCTTTAAAGAGGAATTTCCTGCTTCCACTCTCCCAATCTAATCCATATCATTACCAGCAGTCAATGAGGTGAGGTTCATGGGAGTTCCACACAAAAAAAACATCTAAAATGATAAATTAGTTGGAAAAAAAAAGTTTTGTTTATCCCAAACACCTCTCTGGTTCATAATGTGAAAGTGCTCTCACAAACTAAATATTCAATAATATAAGATTTACTACTGTTTATTCCAAGAATAAATGGAATTTTTTATCTTCAATGGAGAAATCCTGCACAATGCTCCGACTCCAGTGTCTTCTCTGCTGTGAAGCCCTCGCTTCCCTGATTCTCCAAAGCAAACTTGGTTACCTTCTTCTATGCTGTCACATATTTTGTTCATCCCCCTGTTATAGCACTCACCACATGGAATTGTAGTAAATCTTGTTTCCCTCATATGTATTCCTCTTTAGCTCTTTAGCTTTATTTTCCCTCTGTAAGCTCCCCAGGAGCAAGAAACAAATCTTAAGCTTCTTTATATCCCCAGAACCTAGCACAGTGCCTGGTACATAATAGAACCTCAGTAACTAATTGTTAGGTTCATGAGTTAGGAACTATTTCAGCTGTGAAGCTATGATGCACATCTTTCCTGGCTTCCAGTCTCATGGAGTGTGTTCTGGTGTCATTCCACATTATCTACACCTCTTTGGTTGGTGACACTCTGGAAACAGATATAATGTTCAGCATTTCCTTTCAGAAAGAAATGGCTTGTGGTTATCCTTCTGATAAAAAATAAAACATCAATAAATTATAGTTATAATTATTTCTCTACTCTCCAACCCCCAAGACTCCTTTACGTGAGAGCCACTTCTTAGGAAAGCTGATGTTAATAGCCATCTTGACAGTCATTGTCATCTTGATCCCCAATGGGCTTGTTGTGATAAGTGTCAACTGTTAATTTTCTGCTTTCTATCTCAGTGTTTTTTAACTGGCCGTCTTCCTCACTGCTTGACTTACTCTCAGTAGAGTTGCTGTCTTCTCGTGATTGGCTCCGGTCCTGAGAATCACTGCTGTCATCTTCCTCAGACTGGCTCTCCTCGCTCTGGCTCTCTGTGGAGGCACTGCGAGACTGGAGGCCCTCCTGGCTAGAACTGTTCTCCTCCTCAGTGGACTCCGAGCTTTCCTCTGAATATTTGAGGCTCTCATTAGATTCGCTGTCAGCTTGCTCCTCTGTGGATTTGCTTTCTGAACTGGAGGGTTTGCTCAAGCTGTCCTCTTCACTGGAGTCACTGTCTTCCTGACTTTCTTCTGAGTGGCTGGAGGTATTATCTGGATTGTCACCCCTGGACTTATATACTACCTCTTCCTGAGATTCACTACTGGTTTCTTGAGATGGCAGGTCAAGCTCTTGACTAGACTCACTGCTGGGGTCTTCTACAGTTTGACTGTCTTCCTGGGACTCAGTCTCCTTACTGTCTTCTTGAGATTCACTCTTGCTGTTTTCCCTGGATTGGCTGAGGCTTGCTTCGTTGGAGTTGGTGCTTTCTGTGGAGTCACTCTTGACTTCTTCCATTGTGTTGCTATCGTCAAGGTCACCTGTGTCATCTTCCACAGAGATGCGGGACTTCCTGAAAATTTTCCCATTGGGGTACTCCACTGATTGGCTCTCCCCTGAATCCTGAGGGCTTGATTCTTTGGCTTTGACACTGGCGCTGTTCATTCTGGAGTGGCTTCTCTCACTCCTGATGGTGTCTGGGTCATCGCTCTGCATCCCTTCATCATCAAACTCAGAGCCATCCCCGTGGCTGCTATCCCCCTCCCTGCCGCCGCCCACCCAGTGCTCCTCACTCTCACTCTCTGGAGTGGAGTCCTCTCTCTCAGGCCTGCTGTTCATCTCATCCTCACTGTCAAGGTCCCTGCTCTCGCTGGTGGTATCTTGGGCACTGTCTTCCCCACTAGAGGCGCTATCTTCACTGGATTGTGTGGTGTCAGCTGAGTCCTCATCACTGTTGAGTCTGGAGCTATCTCCTGGTCTCGCTTCAGGTCCTGGGCCATTGTCATCATCACCAAAGGTGTCATCTCCACTGTCATCTTCATCATCATCTTTATCAATTCCTTCTTTTCCTCCATTCCTAGAGAGGCCACCAGCTGTTCTATGAACATACTGATGGCCATCAAGGCCGAGACCCTCTTCTGATTCAGCGCTATCACTGGGGTCTTCATTTACCTAGAATTTGAGGTTAACAGACATAGTAAGTACTTCAGGAGATGACATAGAGCGTGTTATCTAGTATCCATTGAGACTCTTTCTGCTTTCTTCTTCCTATGTCCCTCATCTAACACATGGTCAATTTTACTGCTCAGTAACATCTCTACCAGAGGTTAGAAGGGACAGAAGAGGAGTTGAAACTCAAATCACTCCAAATAAATGAACAAACAAAACAAAAACAATCTCATAAATGAAGGGAATAAGCTGATGGTTGCCAGATGGGAGGAGGTTGGGGGTTGGAGAGGGGGTGGAAGAAATGAAGACAAATTAATACAAATTGGGAGTTATAAAATAGTCAGGGGGATGTAAAGTAAAGCATAGGGAATATAGTTAATAATATGGTAATAACTATGTATAGTGTCAGGTGGGTTTTAAATTAGTCAGGGGATCACTTCTTCAATTATATAAATGTCTAACCACAATGCTGTATACCTGAAACTGATACAAAATAATATTGAATGTCAACTGTAATTGAAAAATTTTTAAAAGGGAGGAAAGGTAAAGGGGAATAAGATATTCAAATTTCCAGGTTTAAAACAAATAAGTCATGGGGATGTAATGTACAGCATAAGGAATACAGTCAATAATATTGTGATAGCATAGTATGGTGTCAGATGGTTGCTGGACTTGACATAGTGATCACTTCTTTAGGTATATAAATGTTGAACAACTATGGTGTGCACCTGAAACTAATATAATATTGTATGTTAGCTATATTTTAATAAAAATCTTAAAAAAAAAAAAGAAAAGCTAAGGTGGCCCTGAGAAAGCATCTTAATTTGCAGACTCTGAATTATGACAGTGATCCCAACTTCTTCCCTTCTCTACCCCAGCTTACCCCCAGCAAATTGCCTCAGCTGGGAGATTAAATCATACATAATAAAAATGGCACAGTCGTATGGTTTTACTTCTATTTTCACTGCTGCCATTAGCAGTGTCCAAATAGCTGTCTACAGAAGTAGTCCTTATCTTTTTCCAGAACCTGAAATCTTATTACTTGAACCATAGTATCATTGAGAATTTTTAGAAAAATCTTCATCTCAATTTGTGAGGTGTATCTCTGACCTATATCATTCCTCACTTTAGTGTATATTTCAGTTTTTGGCATGTTTGCTTCATAGTTTTTACTTTGGAGTTATGGTTATTTTCTTTTGTTTCCTTAGAATTGAGCCCTCTACCCTTCTCTTTTATTTATTTATTTATTTATTTATTTAATTTATTTATTTTTTGTGGGGGGGGTGGGCTTAGAAGCAGGCGAATGTAGAAGTGCTTATACTCTGTCAGTTTTAAATATGTGTGCTCATAATTCATGCTTAAACTCTGTTATTGTACCTAGGGAATTCTTAGTACAAACAAAAACATGAACAAATCCTGTGTTTGTATAAGTTTTCTTTACAGAAGTACGTTATAAATAACCAAGTCATGGAAAAGTTGTAAAGCAATTTTCTTCTTTCTGCCCCTTATCGTTCTCAATTCCTATTGGCATTTGAATCACCTATAGAGATGGGACTTTAATCACAGGATGCAAGTCTGCCTTATCAATACCCCATCTCTAGGGGTTATTTTCATCTCATCAGGTACTAACAGAGCACAATGGCTGTATTCCCAGTGGCCTCAGCCTAGTGAACAATCCCAGTGGCCATCAGGATTGCTACAAAAAATTAAATTTAAAAATATCATACTCAAGAGTTGATTTCCTTGTTCTAGAGTATGCTTCATTAGTTTTAAATGTCTTAGACATTATCTATTCAGCTTATACACTGGCTCTGCGAAAAGTGCTCCATGCAGTTATAACAAAAACTGTTCTTATCCTGCCAATTTATTTTTTTTACAGTGAGGAATATTCATAGCTGCCTAATTGATGTCATAGGCAGAAATATTTAAGAATCTAATTAAAGTTCTGAAAGATACATTGTAAATGTTAAATTATGACAAATAAAGTTGAATCATTTCAAGGTCACACACAAAAAAGAAACTCAAATCATTCCATTTTATATAAACTCAAGTCATTCATGCTGCAAAAATTTCTCAAAAAGCTTTGTTGAAATCACATTTATGAAACTCAAATCATATTGTAAGTGTGATTTCTTAAGGAAAACTCTCAGAGAACTTTTGTGTAAATTAAAAGTTGGCTTATAATGCTCAGTCATCAAACTGTTTGGTTTAAAACCAAGTTGTTAAAAATATTGAGTGATTTTAAAATGACCCAAAGGTTTTTTTTCTAATCAACTCTGGGGGGAGAGAGGTAATGTATTAGGGGAAGAGGATGAAATCTTTAGCTACAATGAACGTAAAATATTGTAGTAAAGTATATATCTCACCCAAACCATGGTTATACCTCATTCACCCTGGCAGAGAGTTGCCCATAGATGGCTCAGCTAGAAGACTGCAGCTATTGTGACTACCTAGGCAGCTTCGTTCTAAGTGTGAGCTCAGACAGATTATCTCCACAAATAAAGCGATGGGATTCTCTACACAGATAAGAAAGATAGTGAGTCATCATCATTGTGTTGGGGGTGGGGCTGTGGAATCTGCTCTGTTTCTCATACCCTGTAACAGAGCATTCTTGTTAAATTTTTGTTTTCCCTTTTTCCACATATTCCTACTAATCAGTGTCTGAGTTTCCAATCTGGAGTACAGGATGATGAGACCTCTCTATCGCTAAAGTTCGTACTGGTGTGCTGGCACTGACCATCTATCTATTGGGTTGTCGGAAAAGTCATGATGCATTTTTGCAATGAAAAACATAAAAAAAATATGTCATGATTTTTCCGACAACCCCATAGCTTCCCATACCTCTGTAGGCAGCCTTCTCAAGCAGAGACTGTTCCCCTCATTTGAGCTTAGAAAACACTGATATAATAAATCACATCACCTCCAGAAAAGAGCATTTCTCCAGTTCTATACTTATAAATTTTTAGAATGTTCCTCTGACAAACTTTGAGTAAATAGTAGCAAAAAGCCTAATAATTCATCACCCAATTGTGGTTGAGTATATTGTAGAATGCAGCATGGGTCAAAGCTTCAGAAAGAAGCCTGGTTCCTGGAATCTCTGGAACCCCACAGGGTTCAGTTTGATCAAAATGATAGGAAATTAAGGAAGTAATGACATTTAGTCTTAGAGAAATGGAGAAGAAACAGGGGGAGGAGGAGAGAGAGGGAGGAGGAAAAAGAAAGGCACTTTTTATTAAAGGGATATAAACTAAGTCAGCTATTCTCACTCCCAGGGTTGCAGATGAGACCATTTTGAAGAAAAAGTCATGACCAAAGATTTTTCATTAATATTTCCTCAGGGTTCTCCTAGTCTCTCCTCCAACGGGATCCTTGGCACGGAGGAGGTCTCCCAGCCTAGCACACACTTCGTGCCGTGTTAGCCAGAACACTTTTCTCTGCCTGATGTGAATTGCTCTAATTGTAAAAGCAACATTGTAGATTGATGAATGAGCTATTACTTACTAACATGGTCTGTGACTCTGTGTGTGTGTGTGTGTGTGTGTGTGTGTGTGTGTGTGTGTGTGTGTATTATTTTTAACTAGAGGGACATTTAGGGCCACAATGTCTATAATCTGGCCCCAGTGATAAATATGTCCACATCTGAATTCTCCCAGTCATTTTTCCCTTCTTATTTTATGGAACTATTTAGTCAGCATAACCAATGGTTAGAAAACATTATATTTAGAATGGTTGCCAGGTAATTTAATCTAACATCATTTCCTTTAACTTCTAAGTAACCTGAAAGGTTTAAAAAGGTCTGCTTAATTACCTGTTCCTCTGAGCTAACTTTACTTTCTTCTGATGACTCACTGCTCTCCTAAAAGGAAAAAATATATATGTTATTTGGTAATTCCTGAAGAAAGAAAAAAAATGTAATACACATCAAGTGCTTCTGGTTTGGATTTACCACTTTCCAAATGGCCTGAGGTGATGAGAAGAGTGTTATAGTTACTTTAAGAGATGTTTATGGCAAAAAAATAGAGGAGATAGTTACCAAGGGTGGTGCTGGTGTTTGAGCCAAATTATCCTGTAAAAAAGGAAGTAAACAAGTTACTCCTTCACAGATGGATCATGTCACCAGAAATATTTAGTATAATTTTAGGTGATTTTTTTAAGTTTCTTGATATATATTTTACATTTACATGAGGAATAATAATGATGATATGGCTAAAAAAAATGAATGTGGGGTGACAAATGGCCTGAAAAAAATCTTGTGATACAAAAGACCTAGAAAATTATTGTATTTCTGATACCTCACTTAGAGAAAAATATACTTTCTTTGAAACTGGTTATTCATACAACTTAGAGGAAACATAACATAGGAAAACCAACATGGGAACTCAGAATCCAGATTTAAGCCTCAATTAGCTCCTTGGTTTTGGTTTTAACCTTAAAAACCAACCATCTTGGTGCTAGTGCTGAAATTCATATGTTCCAGGAAACTCCTAAATCTCGAGTAAACTGCAATAATTGGTCACTCTATGTGAATTTGGACCATTCACTTCACCTGTCTCATATTAGTTTTTTATAAATTAAGAATATTAACAACCACTGTGCTTACCCCACGGGGTTGCTGTGAGGATGAAACCAGCTAATGACTATGGAAGCATCTTGAGAACTATTCAATACGATATAAACTAAAGAAATGATCCATTTTGAGAACATCCACTTTATAAAATTCCATAGTAGAAATAACTGAACACAGAAAGCCATTAAACCTTTCTTGAGACACATAAAGTCACCACAATAAAATACAAATTGTAAATCTGAAACTTAGTCATAGTTCTGATGTATTTCGCTTTCTTTAATATTTTAGTAATTCTAAGAACACCTGAGCCACCTCTGGTTCCCTTTCCCCATCTCCTCCTTCCCCTTGAGCAAGGCAAAATTCCAAAGTCCCCTGTGGCTCAAAGCTGCTGAGACATGGGTGTGAGGACCCAAGGGGCACAGTAGAGCAAGGAGGAGCTGCTATGAACAAGTTTTCAATAAGCCTTTCAGCAATGCTATGCTGGGAATATGTCCTCAGAGGAAGGAGATATAATCGCTTTCAGTCTTTGTCTTGTGACACTGACTGCACACAGGCACAGTGGCAGACTCTAGTCAGTTTCATTTAGAATTAAGGGGTGGAAGGTAGCAAGACATTGGTATTTTTCTCATGCCAAAGCTAGACTTGAGAATACAGCATGTTTGTGGTACTCTTAGAGTCTCTGGTTGAATGACAGGAAGGATCTACAGTGGCTGCTTTTAAAATTAACCAGCCTAATGACATCTCTGATGCAAGCTCATGCAATGTGTTTTTCAACCTCAGGCAGGGGCAGGGCCCCATCTCAGGCCTCTGACATTATCTTCTCACTACTCATAGCATTTTGTGCCCAAGCTGTAGTATATGCAAAAGACAGCAGAATACAAGGTAATGAACAAAACACTGACTTAGCATAAGATTTTAACCCTTACTTGTAGTTCCAATCTTGAGAACCTACTGGCCTTTTAGATCTGGTCAGTTCCTGAGATGGATAGAAGACCCTGGTGAATAACGTGGATTCTGGAACCACAGTGACCTGTGTCCAAAGTCTGCCTCTAACGCTTATTAACTATATAAACCAGACAGACTAGGCTACTCTCTCTGTCTCAGGGTTCCCATTTGTAAAATGAGAATAAAATACAACTTAATTCGTTGGGATGTTGTGAAGACTGAGAAATTTAATGCATGTAAAGCACACAGAACCAAGCCTGTGTGAACCCTTATTAACTTTTATTGAGAGTTAATAACAAATCAATATTCAATTAACATTAGCTATCATTCCAAAGACTCTAGTATCTTCTTCTTCTTTTTTTACTCACTTTCCAGGACTTGACCGCCTGCCTAACAGAACTTCTCTTGGTAAAACATATGTATAGTCCTATTCCTCCAAGGCAGTCTCGGTTCACTGTCATACATCCCCTGCACTACTATACACATCCATTATGAAAATAAAGCTAAAGGAGAAAATGCTTCCTCAGCAAATTATCCTAGTAAGTTGGAGTGGAAGCATTATATAAACTAAATTTTCTTACATGAACTAGAAATTATAGCTCTTACTACCTATGTTATAAGTTATTAATGTGTTCATTAAATCAGCGGTTTCAACAATTGCAATGGAGCTACTTTGGTTATACTAATAATATATTACAATAAAAATATTTCAAAAAATCTTATTTCAACTCACCTTCCATTCTTGTGAGCTCTTGGATTCAGTATTTTGATACCTGGCTACCTGGAAAATTGAGTACATGTGATCAGTCCACAGAGAAATGTCCAGGGTAGCAGCTAGCTATTAACATGCTACTTACTTTGGAGCAGGGGTAGTCTAATTTTAGTAAGCCTCAGAATTACCTGGAGACCTGTTAAAACACAGATGGCTGTGCCCCACCCCTAGAGAGTCTGTTTTAGGGGGTCTGAGGTCGGACCCAGGAATTTACATTTCTAACAAAGTCCTAGTGATGCTGCTGGTCTGAGAGTGTCACTTTGAGAACCACTGCTTAAGAGGAAAAAAAACAAGAATCATAGCTATATGAATGTCAACTGAGCAGAATAAGGAATAAATTGGGTGATATTGTAAAGAAAACAGCTTCCTAAAAAACTACTATATTTCTGTGACTGGAACATACCCAGCCACCTCGGCTGATAGCCAGTGAAACTTGTGAAATTTTAGGTATGAAAGATTATTTTCATATATCCTGATACTTACTGGAAGAGCACAGGACAACCCCCAAAAGAACATAAGCAGGATACTGGTCTTCATAGCTGGCATGACACCTATACCTGTAATGAAAGACAGATGATTCTCTCCATGCTCAAAAAATATAGGAGCTTCAATTTTTTAACAGTTTCTTTCTATTTAAAAAACAACTCATCCAAATGTTCATCAACTGATAAATGGATAAACAAAGTATGCTATATCCATACAATGGAATATTATTCAGCCATATAAAGGAATGAAGTACTGACACATGCTAAAAAGTAGAAGAACCTTCAAAACGTTATACAAAGTGAAAGAAGTTAGACACAAAAGACCACATATTGTATGACTCCATACGTATGAAATGTTTGAAATAGCAAATCTGTAGAAACAGAAAGTAGAAAAGTATTTGCCCAGGGCCGGAGGAGATGGAGAGTTGGGGGTTGACAGCTAAGTGGTAAATTTTGGAGGTGATGAAAATGTTCTAAAGTGGATTTTAGTGAAGGTTTCACAACTCGGTGAATATATTAAAAACCATAAACTGTACACTTCAAATAGGTAAAGTATATCTGTGAATTACATCTCAATAAAGTTGTTTAACAAAGAAAACCTCACTCCTAAGAGATAAATGAGGAGCTCCATAAACACTTCTTCATTAACACATAAAATATGATGCATAGAGGAAAAAAGTAAAGAAAGAGAAATTTCTGACCATTCACCTTCATAATAATTATGCAGCTCGTGGCAGAGCACCCTGGCAAATACATTCCCGCAGAAAACTAACATTGATACCCCAATAGGTGGTGAGCATTTGCCTACACACACACACACACACACACACACACACACACACACACACACACAACTTCTCAGCCACATCTATAACCTCATAATAATGTCTAGACAAAATAAATTGGTTTTGCATTTTTTTTCTTGATCTTTAAGAGATGCACTATGGCAAGCTTTATATTACAGCTCCAGAAAGCTCTCAATATCTACTGTGCTACATTTAGTCATACATTATACATGATTATGCTAAATTCTTTTAAGTGTCATTCCCAGTACTGAAGGCTCTGGGGCAGATTAGAGGGTTGAGATGCACTTGTGAATCATGCTGAGAGAAACAGGCCAAATCAAACTGCATTTTCCTGGAGGGTGGTTTCATTTCACACCTCAAGAACTGGTGATTTAGAAAACAATTTTTCTATATCTAAAAATAGATGTGCTAGATGCTAATGTAAAAAGTTATTGAAATGATTTAAAAGGAAAATAATTGCCCTGCAGCTGCCCTAACAACTAGTCAGATGAACTTCCATACATTTTGTGAAAATTTCTGCAAGTTTATTGCAGACTTCACTTTTGTCGATTTGTTTCTTTCAACGTTAAATATGTACTATGCGAGATGTAAGCAAGAGATTCTCAGCCCTGGCTGTATATTAGAATCACCTGGAGAGATTTAAAGACAAACCAACGCACAAATCCCACCCCAGAGTAACAAATAAGTTCACTAGGAGTGGGAAATAAACATGGGTTTGTTTTTAAGGTGCTCAGTGATTTTAACCCTCGACCTAAGAAATAAGCGTACATTGCTCAATAATGTCTGAATGTGCCGAATAATGTCTGAAACATTGGACTCGAGAAGCCATCTAATCTGATTTTTTAAATTTATTCAAGAAAACAGTAGAAATCCTAAGAAAAGGAGGCTAAGAATGTTCCTCATTTCTGCTCAAATGGTCCAACAGGGCCTCTCATTTTATATCATGACTATCATCCCTCTTCAACATTGCCATTCGTAATTTATGCCGTTTTCTTTATTCCAATTCACCATAGTTCATATCTATCCTTGTGTTTTGATATTATTTAAATTTCTTTTTCAAATCCTCTTCCTAATATCAACAGACAAAACATATGAAAAATACTCAACTGAACCTAAAACAAACCTGATTTAACATGATATTACTTCTGAAGGGAACCAGAATATCTCATTCCCCTATATCCTTCTTTGACATAACAATTATTTTGAGCTGAAGGCTCTTGAGTAACAGCAGGTGGGAGAAGGGCTTTTTGATCCTCCTTTTTCTACCTGAAAGCAGGAGATAAAACTCCCATGTGAAAGGTGCCTTCCCTGTATCACGAGGAAGGAAGGCATTCTTATCACCAGAGACGGAGAGTCAAGGCTGAGAAACCTATGCAAACAAACCTTGTTCAGCTAACCAGTACACTCCTAGTCATTTCTTCACAATTTATTGCCCCTAGCCCAAACTCCTTTGTCTTGTCAATTCTTCACAAAAGTACTGTTTCTTTGTCTAAAATGTATAAAAGCTTTCTGCTTCAGTCACTTCTTTAGGTCTTCATTCTCTTGTGAAAGCTCCCAGCACAAGAAAAAATTTTAACAAAATGTGTGCTTTTCTCCTGTTAATCTGTTTCTGGTGGGTTTAATTCTTAGGCCCAGCAGGAGACCTTAAGGAGGTGGAGACATTTTTTCCCTCTTCTTCACTTCCCTTTATTTCCCACAATCAAAACTTCCTTTTAAATTCTTAGGTTCAATTTTTTAAGGAAAAGAAAATTTCCCCTGGTTATGATACTCTCAGAATAACTGCATGCCAATGGTTTTGGCTTCTTGATCAAATAAAAATTAGGCTGCTCACTATGTTAATTTTCAAAGTGAAATTCGAATAAGGTGGTAATCTCACACTGCTCTGAAAACTAGCAAATATGACAGCCTTGATAAAACGCCAATGAATACTGAGCTCTCCTCTGTATTTTCTTTTGCTTCTTTTATCTAAATAGCAACACCACCAACAATAACAACAAAAAAGGAAATGCTCTACACCAATGAATGATGTGTTTTTTATGAAAGAAGTATGTGCTTCCAGTGTTCAAGTTTATTAGGGATGGAATATTATAAAACCTAAGGAAGATGCACTAACTTGCTCATGCATCTAAAATAACATTTAGCATCTAACCTTAAGTAATAATTTCCCAAATGAAGCTCTGATGAACTAAAATAAAATATACCCTGGGGTCACAAGAATGCATATGATATTGCCTCCCAAAGAATATAGTCTGACATAAAGCATTAAAGTCAGATCTTCTACCCTATGTTATATTTTTAATTAGTAGTTTTGATTTTAAAAAATTACATTTTTGTAAAGCATATTTCCAAATGGAAGCTCCAAACTTTTATAAACTTTGTGGCTACCACCCTAAGAAGAAGAGAAGCAGATATGTAGCAGCCCTATTCTGAGTAATAAATTAGCAAAATATCTACAAACCTGAAAGATAGGAGCCCAGAACCCCAACTTCTTCTTCAATGATTGGTAAATATAATTTCTACACTGTACATGCTGTCATTCTACCATAAGAGCATGTAACAAAAGGAAATCAACAACCTCAGTTTGAATTCCACCTGTTTGGAAGGCAGTGTATGTGTTAGAGACTTTCAACCTTTATCAGTTGTTTTCCCAGAGCTGAAAAGATCCAAAATGTTGAAAATCTAAAGAAGGAAATTGCTGTTCCTTCTCTCTCTGGCCACCCTCAAGTGTATCCAGAACTTCTCTGTGCTCTCAAGTAAGAAAACTTGTTCTGGAATTTCCTCAAAGTTAATATTCACTTGTAAAATACTTGTAATATTCACTTATAAAATACAAAAAAATACATATCTTTTACTGAAATTAAAGAGACTGGCCAAAAGGAGAAAATAAGAGCTTGAAAAGTCCTAGGCTCAATTTATCATGACTAACTTGCTTATTTTTGACTTAGTGTTGTGTTCCTTAATAATACTAATGAACAATTTATCCATTCATTGTCAGTCAATGCTATTAAAAGAGAACATCCTATGTGCCAGATACTTTTGTAGGTGCTGAGTATATAGCAGTGTGTAACAATGATAATAAGCTGCTCTTACAAAAGTAAAATTACCCAGAACCTAACTAACTAGAACATCCATTAGCTAAAATTTGCTTCATTATTTTTTTAATTAAATTTATTGGGGTGACATTGGTTAGTAAATTTTTATAGGCTTCAAGTATACATTTTGATGATACATCATCTTTATATTGCATTGTGTGTTCACCACCCAGAGTCAGTTCTCCTTCCATCACCATATATTCGACCCACTTTTTTCCTTTTCTACCACCCCCCTTATCCTCTGGTAACCACTAAACTGTTGTCTGTATCTATAAGTTTTTGTTTCTCTGTTTGTTTGCCCTGGTCATGTGTTGCTTTCAGTTAGAATTTGTTTCATTATTACCCTTTGAAAATAAGGTGGAATTTGGCCAGGACATGAATTCTATCAGAAATTCAGAGAACCAAACAAATAAATCAATACAAATGTCTAATCTTTCCAATTGTAATTGTCTTGAGGTCAATTACAAGCAATCCCATGTTATATGCCTTCGACCATAGCAAAAATAACTCCTAGGTGTCCCAAAAATTGAATATAGATTTGGAAGGTCTCTCAGCATCTGAGGCACATTGGTCCACATCACCATTCCATGATAGGTAAATGGACTAATGCCCTTTAGAACACTGTTTGTTCCCATGTTTTAATCAATCAGCTCAAACTAGGATAGTCTACTTGGCCCTCAGTTAAACAGAAAGTATGGTTCATAAGAGATTATTGCTCCTAAAAACGACAGGTTGCTAGAAGTGTTGCTATTACATGTGGATCTTCTAGATGGCATACAGAATACATTGCCTGATCACAGCTCTCACCTTCTGTTATGGAAGACACACACTTCTGATATAGATGAAGAAGTGGAATAAATGTAGCAAATAAAAATACATATAGATAGAGGTAAGTATAATCCTAAGTCTTCTACACTAGAAAATGTTTTTATTGTAGTCAACATTTATTGAATTATAACTGTATACAAAGCATCATACCCAGCTAAATAATACAAAAGCATTATAATTATCACACCCTTGGTTTATTTCAGTGGTCTTAGTATATACTTTCAGTTACTTAGTTCATAACACATATTATTGCATGCTGTCTAGATGAATAGCATGAAATGGTTTTTAATTTAAAAGCCCATATTTTAAAAGTCCTACCAATCTAGTCTAGATTCTCTCACAATGTCCTATAGGCCATGAACATCACTATATCCATAAAACCCAAATGTAAAAGTTTCTGTTTTGCCAATTCAAGATAAACTTCAAAATGACTTTCGATCTGTCCCCTTTCTGTAAACTTTCCTTTTCAAAATTTAATTAAAGTACCACCAAGAAAAACACCTGGCTCTATTGACTTAACATGTCATTTTAATACCATTATTTACTATGGCATAAACAACAGGCACAAAAATAGGAATCATTTTTACCCAAGGCACAGCTCTCCCCATCTTTCTCTGCATGGCATAATCCCTCTCAGCATGTATACATATTTAGTATTTTCCAAACAACACAACAGAAGTCATTAAAAAAAAAAAATTAAACCGTGAGACTGTCTTACCCTCCTCAACTCACAAAGACTTTTCCCAAAAAGTCTCAGCAATCAGGCTGAAGTTCTCACAGAGGAAATCTTTGCCCAATAAAGCCCCTCTTCTGTTGATGTTCTGAACCCTTCTCTGAAGGTGCAGGAATTTAAACTCTGCTTCAGCTCTTCATAGCCAATCAACCTCCGTCTGGGGGTGACTGACATCACAAGGTGTCACCGGGACTCCAGTACACCCACACTTCCTCCAGCTTGCAGAGGCAGAGTTTCCCTAAAAAGCTCTTGTGGTTCCCAAATGACTAGACTAGTTTCCATTAAATTGAAGATCTTCCTAAAGCTTTATTTTGATTTCTAAATATATGTCATTCACATCCATGCAAGCTTATGAGCATTATAAACAATGACAGTATCTTCCACCCACCGGTAGATCCCAGCAGACGCAAGGATGGGAAAAGGAGAGTCAAGGAGTGGGCAGAAAGTTTCCTGTTAATGTACATTTCCAGGTTGTACATGAAGAACCTACTATAATAAAATACTAGATTTGCCTAAACTGTTGGTGTTGAGAACATAGGCTTTTATTCATTCCTTTTTTTTTCTTTTAACAACCTCTGTTACTCATCTCCTTTTCCTCTCATCTCCCGACCCCCCCGCGCCGCTCCCCCCACCCCACACGCACACACAAGTCCAACATTCTTACTAATCTAATGAAGTATCCAATTACCAAATTCTGTGGTGACCTGAAATGTTAAAGCACCACCCTAAGTAACTTTCGTTTTTAACCAAAAATAATCTAAATCTAATACTTCCTTATTCCCCCAAACTGCTTGCCATGGTTTGGTTTTAACTCTAGTGACTCTTTGAAATCTGAATTGGATTAAGGGGAGGACTAGCTGGGTAGCATCCAGAGAAACCAATTTCCAAGGGACTCTCTGCCATCACTGAAAATGTAATGAAATGCATAAAATGGTATTTATCAGGACTCTTCAAGGGGTGTATTTGTTGTAGGGAGCTGGAAGTGAAGTTGGCACTTCCCAAGGAACCTGCTCAAGTAACAATAGAACAATCTCTGAACAAGTATTTAAAGACTGTAAGTCACTAGAATTTAAATTCTTCAAGAGTGAGGATGCTTTCTTTGTTTCCTAGTGTACCCAGTGCCCTAATACCTAGTACAGTTTCTGAGTCATAATAAGCACTCAGTAAATACTTTTATGAATGACTGAATGGATTGGCTTTAAAGTGGGCCAAATTATCAGCTTGCCTGCAGTACCCATATGACTCACTCTGACTTTTTTTTGAAAGTTTTATAATTTTTGGAAATTTTATTTGATACACCTACCAACCTGGCTCTAGAAAATTGGGGTACCAAACTTTGTCTGGGAAACTAATATCAAGTATGTGGATTCTTCACTTATTCAATGTGAACTGCAGTGGATTAAAGGGTAGAAAATGAGGAAAGACAAGTATTATATATTTTCATGTAGGGCTTAGAAAACCAAAGTTTATATGGGTAAGCTATAAATTGCCTATGTTCTGTTCTGTTTCTGAAGTTCACTTCCTGGTGGTTTCATAGGTCTTGACTGAGGTCTATCTCAGAAGAACCTTATAATCTTATGTCAGAGCAGATTCTGGGAAGATTGTGGCAGAGGGTGTTACATACAGAACATTGTTTGAGAATCTCTCCAAATCCCCACATAAAAACAGATAAAGCAACTAGATAGCAAAACTAAAAACCATGGACAACATTTATAGCAAACAAAATGCTTTCATTACTTATTGCTGTATTAAAAACCTCTCCAGTCCTTTGTGTCTTAAAACAATGACCATTTTATTATCTCTTATAACTGGAGCTCCAGTTATCTGAGGACTCAACTAGAAAAGAATGTTCAAAATAGCTCTTTTATGTGGTTGTTATCTGGGAGCTGAGATGGTGCTGTTATGAGCATTTCAGTTCTCCTTTACGTGGACTCTCCTTGTAGTTTGGCCCTCTTACGCGGTGGCTGGCTGGGGTCCAAGAGCCTCACAAAATGTCACTTCTTCCACATTTCACTGGTCAAGTCAGTCACGGGGCCATTTCATATTCAGAAATAGTCCCTACCTTTGGATGTGGAGCAGAAAGAACATACAGGGAGCAGAGGAAACGTATAGGCCATTTGAGAGAATGGTTACCACGCTTCATGACAGGTTATACCCTTAAACTCCAAACAAAGTGACTGAGGACAAACCACCAACTGCCACAAGATCTACATCGTCTATACGGAAGTAAGAAGAGTGGGGCAGCAGGATAACTGATGGACCTGCGAACAGAAGAACTCCAGAGTAGACAGTAATTGTTGCTGGTTGGTGCCAAGGGCACGTTATAAAGTCTGAAGGACCTGGAACAGTCTAGCCCCTGAGAATTCTCCAGGCAGCCACTACGTGCCTTTCAGGAGAGACTCATGTAGAAGAGAAACTTCTGGGAGTGGAATACAAATTGTACAGAATAAGTATAATAGAGAAGGCAAACATAAGTGTGGGAGAGGAGAATGAATCCAGGAAATCTTAGAAAGCAAGCTGCCATTTTTTTTTTACCATAACATGAAAATAGTAGAAGAGGGAACTGTGTAAAAGCTACCCTGAGCCTTGTCTCCTTCCAAAAGTTCAGAAAAAAAAATTTTATATAAAACAAACAGGAAAAATCTACAAGGTTAAAATCTCATAAAAGCAGGAAAACATCTAACCTTGTAGACAATGAGGGCATGCTGAGAATACATTAAAACCATATCTTCTATTTTTAAAAGTGCAAAAAGACATTAACAAAATGACACAATAGATGAAAAACAACATAAGTAAAAATTAGCATAACTCAGAAATGAAGTATCAGAAATTGGGGGGGAAAAACGTAAAATAAAAGAAAATATTATTTTGGAAATGAAGGCTAAACTAGAAGGAACAGAAGAGTGGATAAACACAAATGCAAAAATTCCTTAAGAGAGCTAGAAGGCAAAAAAAAGAGGGGAGCGGATGTTTTAAATTTAAAAGTAATGAAGGACAAGAGAAAAAGTATTTATTGTAGTAGCAAGTGACTTATACTGAAGATGAGCAAAAGAGACCCAAATTACAGATAATAGGAGCTCTGAAGAAGCTAGCGAAAGTGAGGGAAGAACAGAAATAGTAATAAAGTAAATAAAATAAAATCATGAAATAGGAACATTTATAATTCAAGAAAATTTCTCTGAATTAAAAAAGATTTAAAACTCATATTGAAAGAGCACACCATGTATCTAAGAATATCAGCCCAGGATGACCAGCACTCAGATATTCTCATAAAATTACTGGACTTGAAAGATAAAGAAAAAAGTCCTTTGGGCTTCTAGGCAAAACCAGCAAGTGACTTATCATGGAAAGGAAGGTAGACTATCATGACTCTTTGAAGACAGTGCTTTATGCCACAAGAAAATGGAATAGCGTATTTAAGATATTCAAGATAAGAAAATGTGAAGCAAGAATATTATAGTAAGCAAACTGACTTTCAAATATAAAGTCCTCAAACAAACTATTATAAACATACAAGAACTCAGGGAATATTATTTCCTCAAAACCATTTTGGAGAATCTACTAGAAAATAAGCTCAGATAACCAAAATGACTAGAGAAACATTATCATAGAACAAGTGGTAAGCATTAAACATATAGTTACTTATAGAAATAAAATTAAACAAGGCAAAAAGAGAGAGTTTGATATGTAATGGTTATATACTTAGCATAGATGTAGTATAACTTTTGAAAAGGTGGGGAGATTAAAGAACACATATGCAAAAAGAATTGCTCAATGATTATACTAGTGATGTAATATTACTGTTATTCTGAAAATGTTATTTGTGTAATGTGGTTTAAAGTAAATTAGTAACAATAAATTATTCAATTTCTTTCTACCAATGTGTCCTTGATAATCAGGATTCTCAGTGTGGAAGAAGAGATACAGATTTGATACAGAAAAGGATAAGGAAGAAATCCTGTAATGCTGAATTTAAATGAAAGAATTAGAATTTACTCAGGAATTATTTATAAACACACACGTGTGCATGCACACACATAAATTGGGTCTTCAGGAAAGTCATGATGCACGTTTGCAACAGATAACACTAGTTCATTTTTGGAAGTACTAGAGTCATTCACATCTATGTTATTGCTATGTCATTTGACAGCTGACAGTTCTAGCTTCATTCTAAAAATAAATTGAGCGATTTTGTTGAGTTTTGGAGATTTTACAACAAGTTGAAGATGGAAGACCAAACTGTGCATTTTTGCCATATTTTACTGTTTTACTTCCATAAAGGGAAGAATGTGCATTGAGCTTGTGAAAAGTTGCATAAAGTTTACGGTGACAACGCTCTACAAGAACGTCAGTGCCAACGATGGTTCACGAAATTCTGTGCTGGTGATTTTGATCTCAACGGTGCTCTTCAGTCAGGGCAGCCCACCAAAGTTGATGACAACAAAATAAAGGCATTGATCGAGTCAAACCCATGTTACATGCCACGAGAGATTGCAGAAACATTGAACATCCATCACTCAAGCATTCACGACCACCTGAAGAAGCTGGGATACATAAGGGTTCCACATGGACTCAAAGAAGTTCATTTGACGGCGAGTATAAACATCTGCAATATGCTCATTAAACGTGAAGAAAACAATATTTTTTTGAAGCGACTGATAACTGGTGATGAGAAGTGTATTGTTTACAACAATGTGGTGTGCAAACAGGCTTGGTCCTGATTTGATGGTTCGTCTCAAATGACATTGAAAGCAGACATTCATTAGAGGAAGGTTATGCTCTCAGTGTGGTGGGATTTTACTTTTTGTGTGTGTGTGCCATTATTTATTACACCTGGTTGTTTGTTTGTTTGTTTGTTTGTTTTGTTTTCAGTGTGGTGGGATTTTAAAGGTGTTGTGTTTTTCGAGCTCCTACCAAGGAACCAAACAATCAATTCGAATGTGTACTGTAGGCAATTGGATTGAACAAATCCATCATCCAGAAACTTCCAGAGCTTTTTAATTGTAAAGGAGTTGTGTTCCATCGCGACAATGCGAGACCACACATAAGTTTGATCACCCATCAAAAATT